TTTTGAAGAAATTTTTTGGTCACAAACTTTAATCGTCATCCATCACTCATCAATTGCCAATTTTCTCTCAAGCACCCGCCGTACCGGGAAGCAGCGGCCATATCGGGTGCATTGGAGTTAGGGGTGGATTTGGGCCGGGCCGCCGGTTCTGAATAGGTGGGCCCGGGACCGGCCCGGGTAGCCGCCGGGTCTCGGGTCAATTTTTTTTCCTTTTTCTAATTAACCCCTCATCCCACCCCAACCCCCAAACCACCCCAAATGACCCAAAATACCTAGCCCAGTCCGAAAAGTTAAAAAATAATTGAAATAAAAAATTAAAAAGCCCGGAACCGGGTCCGAACTGGTCGGCCCGGTTCGACTTTTGGGTGACCCGAGCCCGCACCGGGAACCCCCGGGCCGGGCCTACCCGGACCGGTCATTGGCTGGGCCACCAGGGCGGGCCGGTTCAGCACAGTGCCGGTTCTGAGTCGGGCCACCCGACCCGAGTCCACCCCTAATTGGAGTGTTTCAGGAATATTTTATGTATGCAAGGGGTAGTCTTGTACTTTACCTAAATATTCCATCAAAATTTTTATCAAACACTTCAACTTTTACCTTTTAATTAAAATCACTTTTATTTACAAACATTATTTACTTTTACTCTAAATCACTTTTACAATAATCTCTTAAATAAATCACTTTTTAAAAAGCACAAGTAATCACAAACACTCCCTAAATAGACTTAGGCCCTGTTTATTTTGGACTTGATGGTCTTAATAGATTAATAGACTTAGACTATGTTTGTCAGACATAAGTCCATATCTTCTAACTTTTGTACTCCGTACTATTTAAAAAGTTCTTAAAAGCATCTAGTTGTATGTTTGGCATGACAAATTTTTAAGAGCTTTTATAAAAATAAAAGATCTTTTTTGAGATTCTACATTGCGTAGCATCTCAGATAAGTTTGTAGCTTCTAGTATTAATTGGTCCTAACAGCTTGTATACCAAACAAAGCTAAAAGAAAATGTCGACTTTTCATCAAACGGCTGCTACCTTTTTATTTTAAGATCTTTTCAGTCACTAAAAGCTAACAGTTACTAAAAAGCTTATAAAAGTATATTTTTAGCTAGTTGTGCCAAACGTACCCTTAATGACTCAGCTATACATGACTGTTTATTTAGGACTTATCGCTCACCTCATTCACAACACTCCTTCACATTCAAACATAAGCGTTCCTCTTTTAACCTTTATGATCCTTCCGCCAGACTTACATTTAAACGCCGAACATCATTTAGAAGCACGACCCACGAATTGCCGGTCGCACGCTTCTCCATTAACCAACAACACCCTTTGCACGTAGCCTGCATAAAACCACCTGTCCTCACTCCTAGCAAGGTCTGCTCATATCTGCAAGCAACAAGCTCACCTCTACTCTAGGAACACACACAAATAATCATTACAAAAAATTAATGTATAAATTCCGGCGGTTCATCAATAATTTTTAGGAACATTATTACAAAAAATTAATGTATAAATTCCAGCTGCTCATCAATAATTTTTATGATTTCTGCAGAAATTTCAGGAAGATGAATATAAATTAAAAATGTATGTCATACATATTCTGCATATTGAATTATCCAGCAACTGCACATAAATTTTGCAAGCTTTTTTGTACAAATTGAATTTTCTAGCCGTTGTCGAAATGTTGTGCTCTGCTATGAATTCCCAGAAATTCCGATATTTTTTTAACTCGCGCAATGTTGAAGTTAATTTTGAGGAAAGAAAATTAAAGGTTCCTAATTTTGAATAAAGATTCATAATATAATTATTTTTTGGGATTCAACGCTTCTTCCAGGCAGAAGGGTAAAGTGGTCAATTAACACAATTCAGTCCGCTCATTCAGCATACAAAGTAAACATCTTGTAATCTCAGTATCACTTAATGTAGACAGATGTCTTAATACATACAGACAACTTAATCCATACGGAACTTAATGAAAAAAAGTAAACATCCCCTTAGCTTAACATGAGCTATAACTGAACTTAAATGAATAATATGCAATGTTCGCTTTGCTTAACCTCAATACTCCGCTCAATCCAGATAAATTATTACTTTAATTATCGAAATTAAGTAAACAATTACTAAAATCCCGTTCACCTCAACCCGAACTGATTGGGAGGCCCGTGCGGCCAAGCTCGTTTGAGTTGCTTCCCGGGTGAAATTTTTTATGAAATTTTGTGAGCATGTTGTTTAAGAAGTGTCTACTTGTGAGCGTAATCTATACTCCACTGCTATATTTACGCTGAAAATGCTAAATCACAGAGATAAGGCTAAGTATTTGTGACGATCATATCTTGCTGTGTGTTCTTCCGTTTAGAGCGTATTATATCTCGTTGGAAAGATAATTTGGATTTATAAAGCTATTTTTCCAATTTCATTTACAAAGCATTAATTAAAAGTTACAAATTAACCATAAATTAACAAATATTTCTGAATTCACAATGAACTCGTGTAAAACTTGATCCGATCATATCTTGCTCTATTTTGTTCCGTTGAAAGCGTTTGATATCTCGTTGGAAAGATCTTATCGAGTTCTAAAACTTGTCTTCAGGTGCTGGTTTCAAAATATTAAGGGATGATTGCGTAATTACTAAAACAAGACTGTATTTACGTTAAAAGTGCTATATTTACGCTGAAAACACTAAATCACAGAGATACGACTAAGTATTTGTGACGATCATATCTTGCTGTGTGTTCTTCCGTTTAGAGCATATTATAAATCGTTGGAAAGATAATTTGGAGTTCTAAAGCTATTTTTCCAATTTCCTTTACAATGCATTCATTCAAAGTTACAGATTATCCATAAATTAACAAATATTTCTGCTTTCACAATGAACTCATGTAAAATTTGATCCGATCATATCTTGCTCTATTATGTTCCGTTGAAAGCGTTTATTATCTCGTTGGAAAGATCTTATCGAGTTCTAAAAGTTGTCTTCAGGTGCCGGTTTCGAAATATAAATGGATGATTGCGTAATTACTAAAACAAGACTGTATTTACGCTAAAAGTGCTAAATTTACGCTGAAAACGCTAAATCACAGAGATAAGGCTAAGTATTTGTGACGAAAATATCATGTTTTGTGTTCTTCCCTTTAGAGCGTATTATATTTCCTTGGAAAGATAATTTGGAGTTCTAAATCTATTTTTCCAATTTCATTTACAATGCATTAATTAAAAGTTACAGATTAACCACAAATTAACAAATATTTCTGATATCACAATGAACTCGTGTAAAATTTGATCCGATCATATCTTGCTCTGTTTTGTTCTGTTGAAAGCGTTTAATATCTCGTTGGAAAGAACTTATCGAGTTATGAAACTTGTCTTGAGGTGCCGGTTTCAAAATATCAAGCGATGATTGCGTAGTTACAAAAACAAGACTGTATTTACGTTAAAAGTGCTATATTTATGCTGAAAACGCTAAATCAGAGAGATAAGGCTAAGCATTTGTGACGATCATATCTTGCTGTGTGTTCTTCCGTTTAGAGTGTATTATATCTCGTTGGAAAGATAATTTGGAGTTCTAAAGCTATTTTTCCAATTTCATTTACAATGCATTTATTAAAAGTTACAGATTAACCATAAATTAACAAATATTTCTGATTTCACATTGAACTCGTATAAAATTTGATCCGATCATATCTTGCTCTATTTTGTTCCGTTGAAAGTGTTTAATATCTCATTGGAAAGATCTTATCGAGTTCTAAAACTTGTCTTCAGGTTCCGGTTTCAAAATATCAAGGGATGATTGCGTAATTACTAAAACAAGACTGTATTTACGCTAAAAGTGCTATATTTACGCTGAAAACGCTAAATCACAGAGATAATACTAAGTATTTGGGACGATCATATCTTGCTGTGTGTTCTTCCGTTTAGAGCGTATTATATCTCGTTGTAAAGATAATTTGGACTTCTAAATCTATTTTTCCAATTTTATTTACAATGCATTAATTAAAAGTTACAGATTAACCATAAATTAAAAAATATTTCTGATTTCACAATGAACTTGTGTAAAATTTGATCTGATCATATCTTGCTCTATTTTGTTCCGTTGAAAGCGTTTAACAATATTAACCACAAATCAACATATATTTCTCATTTCACAATGAACTCGAGTACTGCGCTGATACGAATGTACTGCGCTGATACGAATGTACTGCGCTGTTTAACTGCGCAGTTATCTTCAAAAATTCATTGGACTGCCTTCCCGATTGAATTTTTAGCTGAAATTTGGTGTGAGTAAACTAGACTTAATGAAGAAGATTCTTAAAAATTATCATCAAAAAATTTCACCGTGAACCGCCCCAAATGGCAACGGCCGGGCAGCGCTTCCTATATAAGAGGTGATTTGCGCTTTTTATGTTAGTTCGAGACCCTATTTGACCCTTTTTCTCTATAACTTCTAAATACAATGAAGTGTTTTCCTCTGCTTATTTGCTCCACTCTCCACCACCTGCTTATATAATCAAAGACTCTATCTTTCCAGACAACCTGTTACTCGAAGTTGTCCAGAAAATATAATCGAAGACTTGGTATCATATAGTAGAAGAATGTTCCTATGTAGCCGGAGGGACAAGATACTCCGTCCGTTCTACGCCGTTTGAGGCGGTTTTTGGTAAAATGGTCTGATGAATTTTTTTGAACATGTTCTATATTAAGTCTAGTTTATCCGCAATAAATTTCTGTTAAAAATTCAATAGGGAAAAAAAGATGATCAAATAAAATTTTGAAAATAATTGCGTTTTACGTGAAAAAAAGCATTGTAAAAATCTACCTCCCACCCCAAAAGGCTGCGGAAATGGAGAGGATCTTTTCACTATTTTAGTCATCTTGTTCTTGACAGTGGCCAGCGGAAATGGAGTTAACCTGTTCCGTTGCGTTTCCGAGTCCGTGCTTTGCTTCTCGAAACTTCGCCCGGCCACTCCATCTCGCCTCATGTTTACCGCTTCGGTGGCGTTCGTTTTGTCTGACCTCTCCATCTCTAGGTAGGCAGGCCGCTCACGGTTTTTCTTTATAGTGATTTTCATTTCGAAGAAGAACAAAATGTTCGCCTAAATTTCCTTCCTTTCATTAGAGCTGCTTATTGTCGAAGTTCGGACTATTTTTTGATCCCTGCTTTATTGTTCTTACTTAAATCCTCCTAGAATTTTAGGTAACTTTTAGGGAATGCAGTTGGAAATAGTATTTTTTGGTAAACTTGAACGTGACAGAATTAGAAGAAATGAACCTGAAGATTATCATCACTTTTCGAATTTCTTTTTCTGAGTTTATTTCACTGATGTTACAGTGTTGAAGTCTTGGAGATGTTTTCTGTTTGGAAATGAATGGGATATGGAAGGACGCTGTTATATCACTGTTGGTCACACCATTAAATTTACTTCTCATTTTGATGACAATATTTTATACTGTAATCATCCCAAATGTCAATGATGTCAGTGGCATGAACTATATAGTGTCAATTCATTATTTAAAGTTTGTTAACAGTATAAACTACGAGGTGACCTGACTTATGGTGTTCACTATTCGTTAATATGTACTGTAATGATATTTGCAAATGATTCTGAATATGACTAAAACATAGTTCATCTCCTTAAATAACTCCAACTAACATAGTCATTTATGTAGCACTTGAATGCTATAAGGGCATCTCATTGTTTGGGGTATTAGCATCAATGTCCCACCCAAGAGGGCACATTGGGTAGAGAGAAATATTAATATTGATTTACTAATTTGGTCTGTTGTTAGGTTTGTGTTTTCCAAAAATAAGGTTGCAACCATCCCTTGTTCAATCTGTTGTTGCTGGTACTGCTAAAATACTAAGCATCTCTGCTAAAGAACACATGTCATGTAGTGAAGAATCTAAACCTACTACTACTGACTACAAAGCTGATGCAAAAGAGGAATATGTCAAAAAGGACACTGTTGAAGGCGTCGATGTGAATAATATGATCCAAGTTTGTGACAAGTTAATTGAGGTCTTTATGGTAGACAAGCCGACTCCAACTGATTGGAAGAGGTTAATAGCATTTAGCAGGGAGTGGACCAATATCAGACCTCACTTTTATGAACGCTGCCTGGACCGAGCTGACAAAGAGAGTGATTTTGAGATGAAACACAAGCTACTTCGGCTCGCAAGGAAGCTGAAAGAGGTAATTCTTTCCGCCCTTTTAAGTTGTAACTGAAGTTATGTGTGCGTGTTTGTTGAAAAGTAACTAGAAGATTCTCTTTCCAGATTGATAATGACATTCAAAGACATAATGAACTTCTCGAGGCCATAAGAAATTCTTCTTGCGAGATTAGTGAGATTGTTACTCGGCGTCGTAAAGATTTTACCAAAGAGTTCTTCTTTCATGTTAACACTCTAGCAGAATCATATTATGACAATCCAGAAGAACAAAATGGTAAGCTATATGTTGGTCTCAGTCTGATGCCTATCCATTATTGATAATTGTACTAGAATCACCCTCCAATTTGTATTTGACTGTGCATCTTACAGTTTTACACCAACGTTCTGTGCCATCTGATGGAAGATAGATTACAGTACCAATGTTACCAGTCTTACCACACTACTAGTATCCATTTATCCATGCCACTCAGAATTCTAAAATCTGTTTTGACTTCCTTTGTGGAGCAAATGAAATACTATGAAGCACGAAACTCTCTGCGGTTCACGTTTCTCTGTTTCAGAAACTGAGAAGCGTGCCGGAAACTCGAAAACTTCAAATACAGGGCTGTTTCCGTAATTAAGAAGAATTGGGAAACCCGTTTCCCTAAATAATTAGCATTTCTGAAACTTTGGGGTTCCAATATTTTTTCTTTTTAAGAGATTATGTGATGAAAAGTAGTGCCTTTTTGTAAAAGAATAATGAATTTGTGGTATTTCTTCCTAGCAACATTGTGACATTTCATAACGCAATGCATTGTTGGAAATGTATTGTATTTTATGTTTCATTATGTTCTAATATGTAATGATTTCTAAACAAGTTATATGAAAAATATCATGTGCATATATATAAATGAAAAGACTTGTGTACACACATAAAAAATGTTTATAAATATGTCCTTATATTTGTAACATAACACATTTCTCCCACATTTCGTATACTATTTTTTTTAGATATTTTGTTTTTTCTCGTAGCACGCTTTTAAATGTAACTCGAGCACTTTTACTAAGATATTATACATTTTTCGTATACATTTCTCATCGTCTGCTTGTAAATGTAACTCGAGAACTTTTACTAAGATATTATAACGTATATAAATATTTAATGCCTTTTCCATCATTTGAAATGGAGCCAAAGACTCCCTATTTTTTGGCTTGGGAATATGATGGAATAAATCAAAATGGTTCACTAAACTGTCTGCGCTTCTTTGTTATGAAGCAACAGTTAGTTCATGTAATTTTCGACGCGATTTTCACTATGGGTCATCCGGAAACAATCTCTTTGTGTTCTAGCACAGGGGTAAGACTGCGTACATCGGACCCCCCTTACCCCACCAGAGGTGGGAGCCTTTGCGGCACTGGGGTAATGATAATGATGATAATGATGATGATGTTTTTCTCGTTTCCTGTTTCCCGTTTATGTGCTGCTTAGATGAAAATCATGAAATATTATCCACTTTGTTCTGCTTAATTATGCATGTCCATGTTAATAAAATTTTGTGCATGGGATGACCTGTGTAGCTGTTATTCATACTTTCAACATATTTACCTTTCCTAAAGAGATAAGGTATTATATACTCCGTATAGTTCTATAAAAGATGCTTTGTACTTTGTAGTATAATCAGGCAGTAGGCATTGTTAGTTGCTTTTGGAAAAAGTGGCCTTGTATGATCTATCTGGTTGGGAAGTGTGCTACGCTTGTTATCACTACTTTTGGTAATCTGATCTCCACTTCTCCACACTGACAACTGAGAAAATTGTTGTTTTGGTTGCTTGGGATTGTTGGTTTTTTGTCAATGCATTTTTAACAATATCCAAGATTTTATTTACTGATAATATGCTTTCATTTTTGCCGTTTGGGATCATAAGCTGTGGCCAAGCTGGGAAATGATTGTTTGGCAGCTGTGCACGCCTATGATACTGAAAATGAAAGTATAAAGGCATTAAATGCAGCCGAGCTGAAACTGAAAGATATAGTAAATTCGCCTTCTGTGGATGCTGCATGCAGGAAAATAGATGACCTGGCCAAAAAGAATCAAATCGACTCCGCTCTGGCCCTCCTTATTACCAAAGCTTGGTCAGCTGCCAAGGAGTCGGACATGACAAAAACTGAGGTGAGTTCTGCTTTTCCCTGTTTAAGGACATGTTTTATTCTTATCAGATAATGTGATGTGATTTGATTTCGATCTATTTTTTCAAAGATCTGAAATAGTTAATGTGATGTGAATTTGACCTAAACTTTTAATGATCTGGGTCCTGGTTCTAGTCCTGATCCTAGGCTGAATCTTTCTGGTATATCATTATAGGAATGTTTCGGTCTGTTCTGTATCTTCAGTTTGAGTCTTTGTGCTTTGGTCGGATGATCTTGTCTAAATTCCATGTCTGAGGTAGTATGATTAAAATAAGAAGTCTCCCTCTGTCCCATTTTATAAGATGCACTTTCCTTTTTGGGTTGTCCCAAAAATATGAACACTTTCTTAAATTGGACTCCACTAACTTTTTGCTTTCCCACTTTATCCTTTTATCTATCATTTCACCTTTTACCTTTTTGCGGATCCATTTTTCTCTTTCTTACCTTTTGGAGGTCAGAATTTTAAAACATCCAATTTATCCTTTATTTTCTAAAACCCGCACTAAACCCACATGCATCTTACATTATGGGACAAAGGTAATAAACAAAAGGAAAATAAGGTCATGACCACAACTACTAATTTTCCATGATTTGTTTCCTACCAACACATAGAATTCTTCTCTAAAATGAACCGGATCACAAAAAAGATGATTAATTTATGTAATACATTTTTCTTTTTAACTTTATCAGGCAAAAGACATTATGTACCATTTATACAAAACAGCAATAGGAAGTATGCAAAGGCTTATGCCAAAAGAGATTAGAATACTGAAGTACTTGCTCACAATTGAAGATCCAGAGCAACACATCTGTGCTTTGAAAGATGCTTTCACGCCTGGGGAGGAGCTTGAAGGAAAGGACGTTGATTTGCTATATACGTATGTTTTTTTAAATACTTTAACTGTTCTCTAATTGAAATTTAATTAATCTTGGTATTTGGACCTGTTGTTATGATAGCTCCACTGTTATATGGATCCTTGAGAGATCGTCAGTGTCTGCTTCAAATAGATTACTCTTCCCCCATTGGGGTACACAACTTGGATATACGAGGACACAGCCTCCCTGCACAATTTTGATCTAATTAATTGGTCTTTGGATTATTTTTATTTTTTAATTTGTAAATTTAAATTTATTTTGTATGCTGACATAATAGATTTTGATTTAGTACTTGCTACAATTTAAAATCTTAGTCTTTGCCCATTGCTATTAATATCTATGAACTTTCAATAATACTCTTACAGTTTTAAGGCAGTGTTTGATTTTCAACTTGTCTTTGGTTTAAGTTTTGTAACTAAAAGAAAGGTAGTATGTTTTAGTTTAGTGTATTAAATTGTTGAGTTAGTCAATAGTAAATGAGAAAAAGCATTTAGCTTTCTGTATACGTGTGATTAAAATTTTTTGAATGGATTTCTGATGTGCAACAGGACCCCGGAGCAGCTGTGCAACTGGATAAAGATTATCGCAGATGCATATAACTTGAGCAGAGAAGGGACTCTCTTAAGAGAAGCTAGAGATTTAATGAACCCGAAAACCATCCTAAAACTGGAAGAGTTGAAGAAGTTGATTCAGGACAAGTTCATGTAGCATGATTAAATTCTTTTTACTGTCACACACCACATAAACAAACAGAACTATGCATCTTTTGATGGAGTATTGGAGTGTACTTGGGGTATCAAATTTTGTTGCTGCTTGCTGGAAGGAATCCTGCCCACGATGATGAAAAGGTCTTGCACAGGCTCCCTTCCATGTCCTCTCCACATCAAGCTCGTTCCATGTCCAGAACGAGCAAGCTCCCTTCGATGTTCCTCCTCCCTGATCGCTTGCTATATTCTAGGATCTTTTCAAAACCAACAAAATTTCATTTACGGAACTGTTATAACAAATTTTGATTGCTGATGATAGGAGAATTCCTTTTTGTCTTCTGCATGTGAATGATTGAAATTATTTTGTATATGCGGAGTACTAAAATGAGTATAGTGTTTAGAACAATTATACCTTGGCGAAGCATTACAAAATGAGTATACTAAAAGTAAATTACTACAACAAATAAAGTCTTCAAATATTAACCATGTTGGATGTACCATATCCATCTACCATCCTATTTTGAAACATGCTAGATTTTTAATATGAAAATAGTACTACATTATTGTAGTGAAAAGCCAATGGGACCCATTGTATATTTGTAATTTGTATGTAGGATGCATTAAATGACCGCCAATGCGTTTGTCTCCCCAATAGTTTCGCTGAAGATGAAGAATAAGGGGTCGTTTGGAGCCCTTAAAATGGGCTGTAAAGCCTGAAAATGCAAAAAATAGCCAAACACATGACAAATAGGTTGTTTGGGTTGTTTTTTCTTATCAGCCAAAAAAGTAACAATAGAGTTACTTTTTGAGCTGAAAGTTATTAATGTGTCATTACAACAACAACATTCAAACCTTAATCTCAAAAAGATATCGATCCATGATATCGATGTCAAAAAGAGAAGACAGATAAGAAGAAAATAATGATAAAACGAGTAAGGTAAAGATAAATAAATATAAGATAACAATAACATAAAAATATAAACAAGATAAAAGGGCATAAAAAGTTGGAAGATAAAAATAACGTAAGAACATAAAAAGACAAAGAAGATAAACTATAAAAGAAAAAGAGAGGAAAAAAAGAAAAGAGATCAATCGTTCACATGAATGTGTGTCATCCACTTTGCCCTCTCCAAAATCATACTCTCATCCAACCCAAGAAGACGCATATCAGTTTTGATTCCTCAAATGTCATTGCAAACCTAAAATACATCTTTAACCTTTAAGAGCCTTTTTATTTCTGATGTTCATTGCATGTCCGTTTGGTAATACTACTCATATATTTGGAAAGTGGCGAGAGTGGGCACACTAAGATCATTTGAAAAAGTATATTTATTAAAGTAATTTACTCATATCAGTCACAAAATTTAATACGTTTATTTGAAAATACACATTTTTTAAAAAGTAGTTGTATAAAATAATATAAAATTTGATGTAAGAGTAAGAATGAAATTTTCAAAGTAAACAATTATTTAAGTAGTCTTATTATTACTAATCAAGCAAAAATAGTTTATTAGTAAAATTTACACTCATATATTTAACACAAATAAACTAATACTCTTTATAGTAATTTACACTCAATCAGCAATTTCTGCCAACATACTATCAAACACTTTCACTTCAGCAGTCTTTTCAGACTTTTCAGCCCTTCCATCTTATGCAGCTCTTACCAAACAGTGAATGCGTAATTTTAAAATTTAGTCATATCTATTGACCGAGAAAATATTTAGGAACCTCACTAAAATACAAAGAATCACACACTCGTGAGTCGATACATGGAAGACAAACGAAGTCACGCCCTTCTCAATCACCAAGTTGATCATCAATGAATTAAAACAAACATATATAAATATATTTTTACAAAAAGAAAGGGCTAATTAATCACTCTTCATCTTATCCCACATACACTTTTTGTAACTCTCATAAGGGATTTGTGATCAAATCTTGAGTTGTTAACATGATAGGACTGTAGTTTTTGAACATCCCGTCGCTCTTAGTGAAACACTAAAGACCGAATAATTTGGAGTGATGTTTGCCATCGTAAACAACCTTTCTTGTATATTCGAAATTTTAATATTTTAAGTTTTGAAAATTAAAACATTCATACAAGCACATGTCTCCAAATGCAACACATATCACTTCTAATATATTTCAAATATAATTTTATCTTTCAAACACATAACATCTTGTGTTGTGTATAGGGATGGACCCGGGCCGGTCCGGTTCTGGTTCCGGGCCGGGCCCGGGTGGGTTTTTTTGCAAAATCTTGGGCCCGGAACCGGCCCGGGTTGATACCAGGCCCGGGCCCGGGTCAAGTTCAATTTTTTTTGGGTTTCTAATTAACACCCGACCCCCCCCTTCACCCCCACCCCCCCAAACCCCCCCAAAACAACCAACCCTAACATAGAAAAGCAAAAAAAAATGAAAAAAAAATTGAATCGGGCCCGGCCCGAACCGCCCGGGCCGGTTCACCAAAAGTTGGGCCCGAGCCCGGCCCGCCCGGCCCGCCCAAACGGGCTAAAAGCCCGGAACCGGCCAACCGGTCCCGGTTCGGTCCGGGCCCAAACAGTAACGGGCCGACCCGGTTTAATCCATCCCTAGTTGTGTATCATGAAAACAAGTTCTACATACATTTAAAATGTCATCCATATACCCTCAATCTATTTATATATAAGAAAAGAGATAGTTCATTAAAAGACAATTTTATCCTCCTAATCCTACGTGTCTCTCTTACCACGTTTCTCTCCTTTCCTATTTCATTGCCACGTGGCTTTATAAAGATGCTGCTCACTTGCTCAGCCAACAAAATAAATCTTTATCTTCTCCGTATTTCCGGTGCGACACAACAAATTTTCAGCGCCACACGACTCTCATCTCCAAGCCATTTTAGGAATCTTCATCTCTAAACGTATACAAGATTAACGCACACAGTTCTTCACAACAACTAGGAGATCTCCAAATAACACTGCTGCTATATATGGTTCATGAAAGGGCGCTGATTCATTTTCATCTCCCAACAAAGAATAACGCTTCCAATTTCCATCTTTATTCTCTGCGATTTCAATGCCCGACGATGTTGACGCCCTACGATTTCACGTTGATTGCTTACGTTTATGTTAAATCTCAATCGCTTTTACTCTACTGGTATGCTCCGCTATCTTTCACATTTCTAATCTTCTTCCTATTTGAACTAAATGAATCATACTCATTATCCCCTTTTAACGGAAATGGCAGAGTTGCGGCAGCAGCTATCACTTGACCTAATCAAAATTATGGAGCATCGGCTGTCTTCTATTGAAAACAGGACGTCATATCTTTAGCGAGTCATAGACCAGGTTATCATACGTTTTGATTCATTTCTTTGGAGTTAGTCCTGTTATTTTGTTCTTAGATTGGAATAATTAGATATTTTTTTCTGTTAGTTAATTAACATGCAATTTTTGTTCTTAGATTGGAATAGTTAGATATGTTTTTAATTCATTCAAATGCATTTTAGTGTTCTGTTTGCTTCAGGATGTTTTGTTTTTGTTCTTTTGGGTCCAAAAGGAATGGCAATATAAGAAGCATCACAGATTGGGTGAATGGATGTATAACAAAATCTGATTTTGTTTTTCTTAGAGTGGCATACATGAACATGTTTTTCCATTCCTTCAAATGCATCTTATTTCTGTTTTAGCCAGTTTGTTTATTATTATTGTATCACTTAATTGTTCTTTGATCCATGTCAATTTCTGTTTAAAAACTAAGTGTATAAGAGGGGCCTATTTTGAATGCATTTTCTCTTCTTAACATTTCATAATTTATGATCTGTTTATCTATTCTAAATTTCTTAAAACTCGGTTTCAAACAGATAGTTTTCAAACATCATTTAATATGTCAAATTAAAGGACCAGCATAAATCTGAGATAATTGTTGTCATATTGACACAAGCGAAAATCAAAGAACCGGAAGGTAAGCTTGATTTGTTTTATTATGGTACTTATATATAAATAGATGTTTTCCACACATGTTAATGAATATGTTCAGTTTGCATATGAGTGTTATCACAATTATGATTTTGTTATTCACACACTTCATTTATTACTATTTTCATTGTTAAATATGTAATCCGTGTTTGGAATAATAACAGCTATTGCTCGGGACAACATAAGAATGTATCAACATCAGAATTTTTTAATGGATGCAAAGGTAATTAATGTAAAAAAGATCTGTCCACACATCTGTTCTTAGAATATTATATACATCCATAGCACTCATTCTCATACTTTGAAACACATTTTCAATTGATCCAGTGTTATACTTTAATTGTGCATATTGAGTTGTTTTTGAGTTTCTTGAGTTTTACTATTGTCAAGAGCATTTTTTCCTTGAGTGTAGAAGGAATGATAACTTTTATCATCTGCACCTTCATGGCATCTGTTTTTTTCTTTCCTTTCTTTTATATATCTTTTGCTGCAACCATAGTCTAAGTAAGTAGTTAGGAATTAGCTTTGTGGGTTTATTTTAATTTATTGAGGCAGTGCTATATGTAGCTATTATATAACCTGAGATACTAATTCTATTGAACATTTCTGCTGCTTCAAGCAGTGTACCGGATTTGTTTCTCATTGTCTTTAAATGAAGAAAGAGTGTGTTCTGGAACAAACTATTAAAAACGTCACTTATAGCAGTCATGCTCATACTTTATTTGTTTCATTTGCTTCCTTTATTTGCACTTCTACATATCCTTCTTTAAGATCATGATCAACATTATTAAATAATGTTGTTTTAAGTAGCTTATATACTCATTCTCATACTTTATTTCTTTTGTCTACCTTCTTTTATAGCAAAAAGTGGAAGATACACACCAAAGTAAAGACCTTAATTTGTGTTGCTATGAGTACTTTATAGCAGTGATTCTCAACCACTTCTTTTTTGGCCCTCCCTGTTCCCTATGCTCATCATATGTGTAATAAATCAGTTTATTTAGCTAAAGTACGATAGCAATACACCTAATTTCTATCTATTTCTTTGACTTGCTTTTTTTTTTTCTATGAACAACATGTCAAGTATAACATCTTCACTCTTACGGCCCTTTGAACATTGTTAATTTATTATACTAGAAATCATTGAATCAAAAACCCAATGGCATGCTAATATTCTGATCTTTAGGATATTGTTGTTAATATTAATAATAAATTTTATTTAATTAGGAAAAGACCAATGATACTAATGGAGGATCTGTTCTTGACAGGCATGTTCAATGTGAAAGTGTAAGTCTAAGTGTCATACCACACTTTAATAATTCATATTTTATTTGATAATATTAAATATGCTGAATTGTTGTTCACATATTTGTACATGAATCTATGTCTACTAGAGAGGATCATGATCCCGATGTCTCATCACCTTCTATTACACCTTGCAAAAGATCAATGGAGAAGCAGTTTGACGACCTCCAAACCCAAGATGTAGCTACACAGTTTTCAGCAACAAGGATTCAAAAGCACATAAAGAAAGAGTAAACAAAAATAAGTTTGTTAGATGGGCATGGGCACATTCCTAAGCCACCTATTGTTTTTTTTTTAAATTAAGTCTTTTGTTTACCGTTTGAAAATAAATTACGAAGTGACACTGTTTTTAATATTTATTTATTATTTTGTTCAAAAAAGTAATTTATTATTATACTTTTACTTGGGTTTTGACAACTCAGAAGCTTAAAGTTGAATATATTATTGTGCTTAACATCCCTCACAAACATCTTAATATGACTATATTAACATCTACAAATTGAGATCACTTTAAAAGTACTAAAAGAGAGTAAAAGGGGCAGATGAATAATTAAGAGGTTGGAGTTATTTTCTTATTAAATTGACTGAAAACAACCATAGGTATGATTTTACCATGTTTACTACTAAAAATAGACTGTCAATATATTGTTATACAACCATGCTTACTACTAAAAATTCATAATGTAAATAATATCTTAAATATACGTTAGTATTATAATAGGCTTTTTATCACTTACTTTTTAAGGGAACCTGATACTAAAATTTTACATCTACAATGTTTCGATGTACTTCGATAATTGATTTCATTTTTTATTTTAAAATTATTTTATTCATACAAAAAATGAGCCTGATAATTTCACGGTCTATTAAAAAAAGGAAGATAGAAAGGTTTAATACAAGACCAGAAATTATTTAAAATAAGCTTACATGTCATTTATAATTCCTCTGCCACAAGTTTAAATATACATTTTATAAGCGCATAGTATCCATCTATTTGTATTTTGTAATCTTAATTTGTTTCCCCATAATAACAATAGTTAGAGCAACGTCAAATCGTTTGTCTTCAATTTATAGTCACTACAACATCATCCACCAACATTTAACTTTTAACCCCATAATTTTTAAGGATCATCTAACATTAATCGATACATATCAAAGTCAAAAGAAAAAATACAATCTCCATCTGTTGAAAGACTTTTCTTTCACCTTCCCAATGAGCAATCTGTGTTCTTTAGTGACAACGATGACCTTGAGTCCGTGCTAACAAGAAAAACTGTTAAAGAATCAATGTTTACATCTTAGATGTAAGCAAGCAAAATCTATCTGGAAGGAAAAGATTTGACCTATGCAAAGTTCGTTTCATGTTTTGTGTATGTAGCTAGCAAGAGGTGTTGGAAGCCACGAACAAATGGTTACACTATTGGTAGACTCATCTGGGTACCTCCTACAACAGGTGAACTGTTCTATTTAAGAATGATGCTCACTGTAACAAAAGGGCCACGTTGTTATGAGGATATTAGGACGGTTGCCAACATTCAATACCTAAGCTTTAGAGAAGCGTGTTTTGAAGCGGGGTTGCTTGGTGATGATAAAGAATATATTGGAGCATTAAAAGAAGTTAAGGATTGGGCATCAGGGCACTACTTAATAAAATTATTTGTAACTCTGCTTTTATTGTGTCCCGTGAGCAGACCTTATCATGTATTGCAACAAACTTGGCAGTGCTTGGCAGATGGAATTTTGTATCAACAACGGAGGCTCTCGAGCATCCCAGGTACACAAATCAGTTAAGAATCAACTTTTCACTTATTATTTCTAATATGACAAGTTATTCATGGTGTTTACCCTACCAACAAGATTTGTCATAAAAAGTATCACCCTAAATTCGATTCACCTTATATTGGAATTCAAATAGAGAACATAGAGTATATATGATTAGTTTAGCAGATCTTTGTTACTCTTTTCAAGTAGCATAACTGCACACTCTAAAATAACTGTCACATCAAGTGGTATAGCTTCTCTACTCTTACCTAGAGGCAGAACTGCACACTCTAAATTTTCAATCCCAGATCCTACTCTAGATAACTCTACATGCAATATACATCAAGGGAGTGAACTTGCAGAGCTATTGAAATAGACTATGTTGATAATATGGGATGAAGCAACAATGGCTCACAAATTTTGTTTTGAAGCATTGGACGGAAGCATAAATGACATCATCAATAATGATGGTGATTCTATTTCTTCATTCGGAGGAAGAGTGATTGTATTTGGAGGAGACTTTAGACAAACTTTGCCAGTTATTACTAGAGGAAGTCGTTCAGACATTGTTAATGCTACAATTAATTCTTCGTATCTATGGGAAGACTGTCAGGTATTAAACTCCATTTTTCAATACCATAACTAATATGTTTTCTTTTATGATAATTTAGAAAACTCAATATTAACACAATAACCAAAATAACTAACCTATAAAACTTTAAAAAATTGTTCATTCGTTCGCTTTTAGCTTAAACAAAGTATCACTAATTATATTAGTTATTTAAATATATCGCCTAATCGCTTTATAAGTTTTTTTTGGAGTAATTACTTTATAAGTTATACTAAAATATAAGTACTTACTATTTTTGTTTATTCATAGGTACTGTCTCTTACTAAAAATATGCGACTCTAAAATAGTTTGGATATGACAAGTGCTAATGAGCTCAAAGAATTTTCAAAATGGATATTGGATGTAGGGGATGGAAAAATATCAGAGCCAAATGATGGTTATGCAGAAATAAGAATTCCACATGAATTCTTTATTAAAGAATTTGATAATCCAATAGATGCAATAATCCAAAGTACATACCCTAACTTGGTGGAGCAATACAAAAATGAGGAATTTCTCAAGTGTAGAGCTATCTTGACATCGACTATTGAAAATGTCGATAAAATTAACGACTATGTTCTTTCAATGCTCCCGGGTAATAATATTATAAAAATGCTACTTTGCGTATTTACTTGCAAAATAAAATCTTAAACAAATTTAATAATTAAATTAAGACTATTGAACTTTATAACTACAAGTGAAGAAAGAAATATTTAAGTTGCGATTCTATAGACAAGTCAGATGTAGTTGAAGCAGAAACATTTGAAGCGTTGACATTAGAGTTTCTAAATTCCTTGAAAACATGAGGTCTCCCAAATCACAAGGTACGACTTAAGGTTGTGACTCCAGTAATGTTGTTAAAAAATATAGACCAGTCAGAAAGACTATGTAATGGAACTAGATTGATTGTCACAAAACTTGGAAATCATGTCATTGGAGCAAGATTCATGCCTGAAAGCTATGGTGGAGATGAGATGTACATACCTCGAATGTGTATGTCCCAATCACCATGGCCTTTTAAACTTATCAGAAGACAGTTTCCTATAATGGTGTCATATGCGATGACAATCAATAAATCTCAAGGACAATCATTGGAAAGAGTTGGATTATAACTGCCTAGACCCGTTTTTAGTCATGGACAATTGTATATGGCATTATCGAGAGTTCAGAGCAAACATGCATTTGAAGATTTTAATACATGATACCGAAGGAAAATCATTAAACACTACTACGAATGTTGAATTCAAAGAGGTTTTCCAAAATCTCTAACACGTAAGTTTAATATGTTACTTATAATATTTATTTTATTAACGTACAATTTACACTTTATGATATTGACTTATTGTACTCGCTTTTAAGAACAATGCCAAATTTTTGAAATTAGTTTCCTATTGTAATTAATTAGATCATGATTACAAATATATCCATGGATTATTTTCCCGTGCGTATGCACGGGTACTGTACTAGTAATGTCATGAAAACGGATCTCTCTGATAACGTTTCACGAGCCTTTCTCAAGATGTCATCCATACCAAACCATTATTATAATTTATAACTAGTTAAAGATGTTCCTTAAAAAACGTTAGAGATGTTTTTGATTGGATTGAAATTTCAGGTCTAATTTAATGTAGTTGGATCTATTTAAGTATGATTTGGTCTGTTATGGTATCTGTATATTTTATAATTGTCCAAGTCTAGTCTGATCTGATCTGATTCTTGTATGTCTGATCTGATTTGATTTGCTTAAGTGTATTCTGATTTGGTCTGATTTGATTAATTTGGGTTGAACTGCACGGGTGGTTATTTACTGTCCGCCGTCCGCCGAACAGCTAAGTCGACGAAGCGAATGGTTCGGTTAGCTCAACCGCCTGCAGAAACAGTATCTGACTCGTATCTGCCGCTCCAGTCGCTGCAAACTCCATCGCCCTTCTTCAGAAAAGCCCTCCGATAGCCAATTAGCTCGCTGTACCCTAACCATCATCACCCTATTCACCTCTCTCAAACCACAGCCGCGACGCCCTTACTCAGTCTGCTTTGCATATTGTCCCTGACTGGAAAATCTCTACTCCTAACTTCGCACTGCTCCGGTGCTTATTTATCCCTGTCGCTTCCCGTCCCGCCGGCCGTATCCAAGGCTTTTGGCCTCGTACCCGGTTAACCATACGCTACCTTGAGTGTCCTTGTTTGCTTGCGTCCGCCGAGCGTTACTACCCAATGTTTTCGGCGTCTAGCGTGCTTCATACATAATTATAGCTAAAGGATTCTGTGAATGAATGTTCAGATGATGACAAGGAAAACAAGCAGCTGCGGTATATGTGAAAACCCTAACCTCCCTTCTATTTGCCCGGTATGCGTCAATTACAGGTATGGGTAATCACTGTCTATGTATTTTCAATTTCCACTAGTCTATTTCATGCTACTAAATGTGATTATCCCATGTCTGTGGTGTATTGCCTTTTGAAATCAATTTTTTGTTGCAATTTCATCTATTTGCAGATTGAATGAGTACGGCTTGACTTTGAAATCATTGAAGAGTAAGAGGGATGGATTATATGCAAGATTGAGTGAAGTGCTTGTCACTAAGGTGCGGTTAATTTTGGATGATGAGCTTGTGATATTAACTTATGGTGTTTGTTGCTGTCATCCTGCCCAGCTTATGTCTGACTTTGTTAGTCAGGCTGAGTTATGTGCAAACTACTTGACTTGAACTACAACATAATGTTGGTATGATAATATTTATGTTATCATTGCAACGTAAACTATATATGTAAGTTAACCATTATGAGGATTGAGGAGGGGATGAAAGATGTGAAAGATTTTCCATCAAGTCCAACACACAGTCTGCAAGTGGCCAATCTCCTTTTTATCTCAACTTGTTCTAAAAAAAGTAGGATATGCCATCTGGGAGTTTATGCATCCCTTAATAATTCACACTCAATTGAATCTCTTATTTCATAGACCATATCAAATATTTTGTTTGGAGAACTGGAGGGTCGGTGTGATCGGTGATGGTAAAAAGATTGAAGATTCCTAATATGATTTTTGATTTTGATTTCATCAATGGATTCAAGTGAAATGGTTACTGAACATCATACAGGCATATCAATGTGATGCAACGATAGTATGATAGTAACATAGAATACAGAAAATATGGGTGGTTCATATATTTGATTTTAAGCACTTGGCTACTTGCCAATCTGTGTTCATTGCGAAACTGTGGTTATGCAAAGTACACTACGTTTATCATAATTTCAGTCTTACGATCGACGAATTGTTGCCAGTGAGCAATTCAGATATGTATGTCACAAATATTTCTTAAATCTATTTGAGCTTTATCTCTCTTTCCAAACAGAAAAAGTTTTTAATCTCATTTGTATGTAATGTTACTTGTTTGTGGACTGCAGTATTAACTGAACTTGTGTTTCTTTACTTAATTAGTTTACTTAGATTTGTCAGTTTCACTCAGATACTTTATACTATCAGGGCAAGTCTGATGACCAACAAAGTTGGCGAGTATTCCAAAATGAGAAACTGGCAAGACTCAAGGAGGAGCTCAAGCAACGTAGGGATAAACTTTTGAAAGGTTAGTTGCTCACCAAATCCTATTTATCTCTTTAGGTGCCCAAGGAGTGCCTAGCCCCCTTTTCTCTAGGGTGGTTTTTTATAATATTTTTTTTATGAAAAGTTGATGGTTATATTATAATCTTGTGGATTTTTTTTATTTACTTGTGTGACATTTATTTCAAATAAAAGTATAGTAAGGTTTCAAGTCAAAATACTTAAGATCATCGGGGACAAGCTATCACCAAAGTCCAAAGACACTAAAAAATCCCACCATATCATTGAAGCCCCAGTAAGAATTTAACCTTGACTTGCGGGAGCGGTATATTTACGACTTTCATAATTCCAATCATTTGACATCCAAATAATTATTTTTAGGACATTTTAAGTGGTAGACAGCTCCTATCGCTCTAATTGCACCTTAAGTTGGTACAATTATTGCTTCGAGATAGTCTTCAACAAATACTAATTGATCATTTTAGTTTAGTTGTTTGTAATTTTGAACACTTATTGTATCTTAGACTACTTAAATAGTTTCTCAGCTAAATATAAACGTATCATTTTGATGCTATTTAAAGTTAAATTAGTGTTATGAAGTTTGATCTGACATTATGCAAGACCTTATGTGAAATTTCTAAGTTCTAACTTTTTAATATTCCGCTCTTTTTCCAAATATTACTGATATCTTTCCTACATAATCAAAGTAGTGATATTTTAATCAATAATGATTTTTATGCTCGATTATAACAAGTATCTAAAGTTCTGAACTCATCGCAGTCCATAACATCTTCTGTTTAAGTAAAAAAAACCTATAACAGTGAGGTTGCATGTTGTAAGTTGTAACAGTAAGGACATTAAGCACACTATTGCCACTATGTTTTTGCACGAATTTATAATGTTAAGTAATTGTATACTATCGATTGACGCTAAATTTCATGCAAGCATAGATAGTTGAGGTTATTGGGTAATATTGCTGATTTATTTTTAATACTCCCTCCGATTCCAAAACAAGTTCCACATTTGACTTCACACATATTAAGAAAATAAATTTGACTTTACTGTGTAGTGTACTGTTTGGCACTGTTTGGCACTGTTTGGCACTGTTTGACACTGTTTGACACTGTTTTGATGTAGATAATAAGGAAATGTTTGAAAGTGGAACTTAATTTTGAATCTGCCCGAAAAGGAAAGGTGGAACTTGTTTCAGAAACGGAGGGAGTAGAAAATTGATAGCTGACTGATTTATGTGTTACAGGAAAGGCTAAAGTTGTGAAGTTGTCTAATGATCTAAAAGTCAAATTTAATTTGCTTGAATCAGCCATGAACAAGGTATAATGATGTATAATTATACTTAAATGTTATATATCCTCAAAATCTTGCAAAATGATCTCTCTTGCGAGTGGCATTGCAGCTTGAAATAAGTCGTGCCGAACAACTTGAGAAGTTCTTTCCTAATCTGATCTGCACTCAGAATCTTGGTCATGTGAGATAACCAACAATTCCTCTATATGATGATCTGATCATGCTTATGTTTTATTATTGTGGTGTTTATGGCTTGAATTGGAACATACTTGGCGCAGATGGCTATCACCTCTGAACTCCTTCATAAACAATCTGTTGTTATTAAACAGATATGCAAGCTGTTTCCTCAACGCAGAGTAAGATCTATGTTTTATGCAATCAAATTTATAGAACATCAATATGCTGAGCACTAATTGCCATGATTTTCTTCAGTCATTGTACAAGTTTCTCTTGAATTTGGAAATATAGGATATGAGAGATGCATGCTATTCATGACGATAAATTCTACTGTGATAATTTGGATCAGAAATCTTTACTAATTTTTTGGAGTGTAGATAGGCTAAAAAATTGCTAATAATAACTTTTTAGATGCGTGCGTGCTTAACATATTTTTTTGTAGTTCACAAGCAATGATGTAGACCTAATTTATGTGTGATTGGGTGATTGGGCATCTAGACCCCAATTGATCGTCTTGAGTTCTAAAAGCAGGCTTAATATTACAGATTACTGTAGATGCTGAAAGAAAAGATGGATGCAATGGTCAATATGATACTATTTGTAATGCACGCTTGCCAAGAGGACTTGATCCTCATTCTGTTCCATCTGAGGAGCTTGCTGCTTCTCTGGGGTACTTGCTTTCTCTTTACAAACATGAGCCATATGACTTGTATAACCACAGCACTCATTTATGCTACCCTGTTGGTCCTCAAGTTGATTTCTCATCTCACTTACCTTTGTATGTCTGAATTATGGGTCTTTTGTATAACTGCACCACACATGTATGCTACCTTGTTGGTTCTCAAGTGGACTTGTCATCTCACTTACCTTTGATGAATGTCTGAATTCTTGGTCGATATTATATTTCTTTTTACCCCTTTAAATGTGCTTCTAGTTTCACCTTGTGTTTTAAGTGATGTGTTTTACTAGTTAGTAGTGTTTTCCTGTTTTGAACAGATACATGGTGCAATTGTTGAATCACATTGTTCGTAATGTCTGTGCACCCTCACTTCATAACTCAGGCTTTGCTGTAAGTTTTCATTCTTGAGTTTTTTCACACAATGACAACAGTGTTGTTTCAACTTTGTGTTCCTGTGTAGGGTTCGTGCTCTAGAGTATGGCAGCGAGATTCTTATTGGGACGCACGCCCATCTTCTCGAAGGTTTTTTTGTCAGACATTAAAAGTTCACTATTTTCATTTTTCTATCCACTTACCCTACTTTTATTTGCTTGTAGGGGTGAATACCCTCTTTTTATTCCTCGCCAAAATTTTTGTTCTACTGGCGGAGAGGCTTCATGGTCTGAAAGAAGCTCAAGTAACTTTGGTGTGACTTCTATGGAGTCCGAAAGGAAAGGTCGTTTGGATTCTTCTGGAAGAAGCAGTTTCAACTACTCTTCTGCGTCGCCGCACTCTCTTGAAACACACAAGGAGTTGCAGAAAGGGATAGCACTTGTCAAGAAAAGTGTTGCTTGCATAACGGCATACTGTTATAACATATTATGTCTAGATGTTCCCACAGAGGCCTCTACGTTTGAAGCATTTGCAAAGTTGTTGGCCACCCTTTCTTCTTCCAAGGAAGTGCGATCTGTGTTTTCTTTAAAAATGGCTCATTCGAGGTACATTTTCCCTCACTACATCTATACCTAATATCTCTGAGGTTGTCGTAAGAATAGAATTGATTTTGTTATACAGGTCATCTAAGCAAGTACAACAATTCAGCAAATCTGTATGGGACGTAAATTCATTGGTTTACTCGAGCACTTTTATGGAAAGTCTGCATACATTGCCATTACAAGTAAATTTCTCATTGATGGTCTTTGTAAAAATGCTTTTTCACATACTCTATTTGATTGTGTTGCATTAGTTTTTGAATTACTCTTGAGAATTGGTATGAAAGTATTAGCTCTCTCACTTAACTGGGCTTTCTTTATTAATGTTTACTACTTTACTGCCAAGTGCCAAGTGAATGTTTACTCTCCCTCATTGTCAAAGTGGACGGAGTAGGTACTTTGTTGGTTGTAAGACACACATAAAGTTTCAAGTGCACTTTGATGCCTCACCACACCTTATGTCTATAATGACAAATCCTTCTTTATAACACATTTTTATTTCACAGTGCATCCTTAATCTTTTCCACATCATGTTTAGTACTTAATAGCAAAATGTTAGAACTCTGCAATTTCAACAACTACTTCACAGAGATTCCAAAAGAAAGTAATCTGCGCAACTTTATTTCTCAAGGTAACAAGGCAACACATGAGCCGAAGCCCCCCAAAAGATAGAGATACAACTCTGATCTTCCCAGAATGACTAAAGTCAGAACAGACTCCTCACAATATCCAGCTTCCTACTATTTATAGTATTACAACTCAACCGACTTTAGTTAATAGCTACTAACAGAAAACAACTATTAACAACTATTCTATTTATTTCTTCTAGTATCTATCCTTATTACTATAAGTAGTCATAACCCTAACAATACTCCCCCCTAAACATCCACCTTGCCCTCAAGGTGGTTGATAGGAAACAGCCAAAATCTTATACTTCCTCTTCCTCTTCCTCCTTGCGCTTCTACCTTCCCAATATCTCACTTGTTTCAGAGCAAATAGCTTTAGTACATAATCTTTCCAACTCCCAAATTTTTCTGTAGCATAGAATATTTCTGGTGAAGTTTTACCATCATTAAACACATATGTCTAACAGAACTATCTGCACTGTAGGCTATGCATTGTTGCTACTTGGACCGACATGGTGTTGAACAATGATGATCTTCCCCAGCATAGTTAAAAGCGCGCGCCTGAGCGCTTAAGCGCACCAGGCGAGGTGCATATGAGGGTCAGCGTCTGTTAGAGTCCTAGGCAATCACCTGAGTGAGGCGCAAGTGAGGCGCAATAAGTTCAGAAGCGCTGAAAAGCGCACACTTAAGTCACCTGGCCTGGGAAAGGCTTATCAGCATATTTATTTGTTTGATCCTACTTTAAATAATAGGCCCATACTTAAGAATAAGATTTAGCATTTTAGCCCTTTCAAATAATAGGTCAAAACAACTTAAACCCATGTTAAACCCTTCTAAGTCACGGTAAAAGCCTTCTATAGCGTGACTTCATCGTTACTCTCCTATGCTCTACTCACGCAACCAGTTCAGCGCTGAAACATCATTCAACTATCAACCCACAGAAGCCAGCAACCCATAAGGTGTCTTCTTCTTCGTCATCTTCCCCGTGTTCTTTCTTCTTTCTTTTTCAGATTGTAGTCTTCATTTATTTTGTCATCTTCTTGATGATCCTTTTTTTATTCTTTCAGTCTATCTTCTTCCTTTACTTTTATAGTTCTCTTTGCTTATATATTCTATACAGCTAAAAAATATTACATGTATCTGATCATGCACAGTTTATAGTTCTCTTTGCATAGTTTATAGTTCTCTTTGCTTCTTATATATTCTATACTCTATAGTTCTCTTTGCTTCTTATATATTCTATACTTTATAGTTCTCTTTGCTTCTTATATATTCTATACTTTATAGTTCTCTTCGCTTCATATATATTCTATACTTTATAGTTCTCTTTGCTTTGTCTTATTATATAGTCTATAACTCTATATTTTCTTATTATCATTTCATATTTTAATTGTATAAACTTCATATAATCTAACTTAGTTGATAGTTTCATACACAACACAATTTATGCAACCCCTAGTCCTCAAACTACAAAATCAGCTAACCCTACTTGGTGTTTTGTTTTTGTGAACCATGACTTTATTTTTGTGAATTGTGATTTTGTTATTGAGAACATGACTTTTTAATGCATTTAGTTCAATATATGATGTTGAATATGTCATATTTGTTCACTCTAGAATAGTATACATAATATTTTCTAAATAGTGCGCTTGACATGAGTCGCGTCTCACGCTTTTTTGCGCCTCGCGCCTCGCACCTCAAGCGATATAAATACTCTAGCGCATTGAGTGCGGCTCATGACTTTGACTAACTTGATTTTCCTTTTTAGTTTGTCCCAAGATGACCCCTCATTTCATCTAACTAAAGCGTGATGTGCTTCATATTATTTCTCTACTTCAGATAAATCTCAACAACGCAGTTTTCATATTTTCATACTCTATATCAGTTAAAATTATTTCATTAATGTACATTGTACGAAAGAAAAACGTATTGATTTTGTGTTCTAACTTATTAGTTAATTAATCTTGCAGAGAAACACATATGACCATAATAACATTCCAAGCTCTACGACAGCCAGTGTGCTTTACGTGACTGAAACATCAGATCTAGGAAAGAATGGAAGTGTAATGCTGGAAGGTTGGGACTTGATTGAGCATCCCACCTTCCCCCCTCCACCTTCACAAACCGAAGATGTTGAGCATTGGACTCGAGCCATGTTTATTGATGCGACAAAAAAGTGATTTTCTTTATTGCCCCAAACCTACAACACCCCTGCCCCTGTAAATATAGGTTCTGGTATGGAGTATATTTAGTTTTAGTATAGGTTATCTCCTTCCAATGTATCTTCTTTTCCCTCTTTTGCTTAATGCTACTTTGGTGTTTCTTTAGGATTCATCGTGTGATAGCACGAATAGTAATGTGGCTCTCTGAACATTGCTTATGCTTATCTGATTTTTCCTTTGGATGTATACTCTAGTAGTCTAATTGGAAAGATTGGCCAAAATATCAAATTACCTAATGAATCCTAAAAATAAAAATTCCAAGAGAGAGTCGTATACATATGAAAAAGCAGTGGAGTTTTTAAAGGTTGTGCAATGAATTATGCTGACATGCGATTGTTTGCTCAATTGGCTAACCAATCAAAGCCTTTTAAATGAAATGAAATATCGAAACTTGGACATCTATTAGAAATTCATAATGATCTTGCACGTTATAAATTATAATTAGCAAGTAAATTGAAGTCAGAGGGGTCTTGCTTCACACTTTCCTCTTCTTTGGAGGCTGGGGAGCTTCTTCATCTTCATCATCCTCTTTCTCTGTTTCAGGGTCTTGACCATCTTGATTATTTTGGTACACAACTTCATCCTCATCTTCATCCTTATCATCAACATCTTCTTCCTCCTCATCTTCACTATCATTGTTTAAGTATTCATCGCTGTCTTCATCATCGTCTTTGTCATCATTGTTGTTATGAGTGTGACCTTCGTTGTTTCCATCATCATCGTCTTCTTTACCTTCTCCATGTTCTTTGCTATTACCTTGACCATCACTATCACTCTCTCCTCCTCTTGTCCCTCCAGGGGTGTCTTTTTCATTCTCACTGGGGTTGTTTTTTGGAGTTTCTCCTTCCTTGCCATCAATGCATGCATCAAACCAGTCCTCACCTTCGTGGGGTTGGTCATCTACCCCCTTGCATTTGGTTTCATCCATGTGCACTTTTGATCCGATTAGGTTCTGAAAATGATCATTGAGTTGGCCTTTCATTTAGAATTGGTTCATTGCAAATATGTGTTCAAAAAGCTGCTATTGTTATTGACTACGTATGGGGGTTAAGGTTAACTGAATAGACGAATGCACATCTAATGATGAAATGGAGCCACAAAAAGATTGACATCCAAGTATTTAAATGGTAACTTCTCCCCTCTTCTCATTAATTATTCCTTCTTTGCAAAATAAAACACAATTGAAAAAGAGAACAAAATGGATGAGGTGATGCTAAGACGTACTTGCATGTAAAATGCGGAGTAATTGAGTTTACACTTTACAGTGATGTGGTATAAATGTATAATGTGACAGAGGATAGAGACATAGAGTTGATGATAAAACTATGACTAAGGTAGGGGTGGACCGGTTCCGATTCGGGCCCGGACGGGCCTCGGTTCAAGAAGGGGAGGCCCGGAACCGGCCCGGGTAACCCCCGGGTCCGGGCCGGGCCGGGTCTCGGTTTTTTTTTTGGCTTTTCCTAGTTAACCCCTAACTCTCCCCCTCACCCCAAACCAACCCTAACCACCTCAAATGGCCCAAAATACCCAGTCCAATCCAAAAACTTAAAAAAAATAAAATAAAATTGGCCCGGCCCGGGCCCGAACCGGCCGGGCCGGTTCACCTTTTGAAGGGCCCGAGCCCGAACCGCCATCCCACCGGGCTGGTTGGCCCGAACCGGGCCCGGAACCGGTTCGCCGGTCCGGTCCGGGCCTGCACAGTAGCGGGCCGGTCCGGTTCCGGACCGGTTGGCCCGGCCCGAGTCCACCCCTAATCTAAGGATTATCTACTATCCTAAGGAAATTGGAGTCATTTTCTGCTTTTGATGGGTTGATGTACTTAAATCATTTTCTGGCTCATAAGTTAATTTTTAATCATACACTTTCATAATTGTTCAATAATTGAATTTTTAAAAGACCTTAACTTTCAATTTTCCCCGTACATCCCCCCAAGTTATTACTCCGTAGCAAATTATATTTTAAATGAGATTATTTGGTATTTCCGCAATTTCAACAAATTTGATTTCATAATTACTGAACAAACTCCTAGTTGTAAAAACGGAAGGGATTGTTTAGCGAAATGAGATGACACCCTATCCCTGAGGGTCCCCAACCGGACGGTACATTGAGAGGATGTAAATTGGATTATAATCTCAATCTGACAGATAGAGAGTGGGGCTCTGTCCCCGGTACTTGCAGAGGCCCTATGCAATTTTAGCATAGTAACCCCTCATCGCAGTTGCCAGGATTAAAGGGACCTAACCCTTGTGGCACTCCCTTGCTACCAGTTGAGCTACGCCCACCGGTGGAAGGGATTGTTTAGCTCTATTATTTTGAGCGAATAGATATTTATTGTAAGTTGCGTATTTGCGGTATTAGCAATTAAAGATATTACCGTACACATATTATTCCTGGCGAGCCCCAACAGGGTACGGAAACATAAATTTCCTCCGTTCTTTTCTAATTGGAACGGTCCACTTTTCATGCTTATCTTTGAATTCACAACATAATTTTTTATTGATAACAAATATTTGCTCAAATGATAGATGTCCAATTTATTGATAAGCGAGCCCCAACAGAAATTAAGCGATATCACATCTTAAATTATTGATAAGCGAGCCCCAACATAATTTTTTATTGATAACAAATATTTTAAATGTAACTTTTTCATGAATCAGCAGAATCGGTCAATATAATCACTTCAACCAGAATTTCATAAATTTCACCAGAATCAGCCAATTCGGTCACTTTTAGTGTTACCAAATAGGCTCTCCATCATTCATCTTCACTTATGTTTATTCTTAATACGCAGTATCTATCTCCATTCATTCTAATTAAATAATATAATTTCTATTTTATGATTGCAACACAGAATTTATTTTATTAGTGACTAATGCAATAAACTGTATTTTCGAGACATCGCATATGTTCCGGAATTTTGCATTATGGAAGACGATATGCGGTTTCCCGGATAATTGATTTTTTTGTTATTTAAAATTTCTTATAAAAAGATTTAGAAATATTTAAAATGTAACCCACGATTTTGTGAGTTTTACTTGGTAGACACAACGGTTGTAATTCATATGGTAACATACAATGTGATTCTACCTCCATCCCAAATTGATTTGCAAATTTGACTTTTTTGTTCAAACAGTTTCTTTTTGTTCACTTAATTAGGATGCCAATTTTTAATTATATTCTAATTTAGAGTTTGTAACTTTGAAGAGATTTTGATGTAGTTTAAGAATATGTAAATTTTAATTAATAAAAATTGAATTAATTAAAATGTTGACAAAAAAATGTTGACTTTGCAAAACAAATTTCGATTGGTACACATGGCTTGGTAAAATCCAATCTGACTATTTGATTCAGGATGTTTTTACTTGGACTGTAATTTGCTGGTCTGATCTGGTCTGATCTGATCTGGTCTGAACTAGTCTGGTCTGGTCTGATTTCTTTGTATTTTTATAACTATCCAAGTCTGGTCTGGTCTGGGACGAATTACACTCCAAGTAAAAACATCCTCAGTCTCTTCAAAGAGTAAAAGGCTGGTTGGTCTAAATACCTGAGGGGCACAGCCAGAGCCGCGGCGGCGCGTGGAGAAGGCGGAAAGGAGATGCGGGCGTGAATGGGAGGCGCATGTTAGCAAATCACGGTTAACCATCACCTCCATCTGTACCTATCACACAAATTTGATCTAAAATTTGCATGTTAGCAAATCACGGTTAACACAATTTGTTTTTTACACAAATTTGATCTAACGTTAATTCAACCTCCAACTTATTTCTCGTTGAAATAGAAATTTACCCCCCAAATTTAATTATTATTTTATTACATTTATTAACTTTATTATTATAATGGGGTCTATTACTATAAAATTGATGTATGTATTCCCGTCATCAACTTGCTGATTATTATGGAGTATTCCATACTCTATTGATTTTTTGATGTTTATAGCCACACAAAAACGCATCAAAATTTCTGTGTATAATTTAAAAAGCAGGACCAAAGCATTAATTATTAAAGTAATGGATTGATAATAATGATAATATTAAATACTCCGTAATTATATACAGAGCGCAGAGAAGAAAGACAAACCAGAGAATGAATGAATGATGAGAGAGTTCTAAGAACAAAAGAATTTATGAGAGAAGTTTGATAAATCCAATTGGATCAAAGGGTGTTAAATTAAAATGTGTCGCGCATTCTTGACCGTTAGATTGTTATCCATCCGGCCCAAAGAAGATCGAATATGATGCATGCCGAATCTAATACTTTGTTCCTACTGCACTACAGCACTGAGCTAACAGTTTGATGTTCTTCGATACTAGGTAGTACTGTATTAAATTACTCCGTATCTTATTAGGTACTCCCTCCCTCCCCAATTTGATCCTCTCATTTCTTTTGGCCACAAGTTATTAAAACTTTGACAAAGTTTTAAGGCTTTTTTCATCAAAAAATTCCACCGGAAACCGTCCAAATGGCGACGGTCGAACAAAACCTCCTATAAAAGGAGTTATTTGCACTTTTTATGAATGTTCGAGGTCTTATTTGATAGTTCTCCCAAAAAGAAAATGTATTTTAGAAAATGAGACGAATAGAGTATACTTTGTAAACTTTTAAGGAGTAAATCATACTTCGTGTGTAGGTGAGATTACTTTATATTACCAATTATAATACTCCCTCCGTCCCGAAAAGGTTTGCCAAATTAACTTTTCTTGGTCAATGACAATCAACTTTGACCAATGATATATTTTAATACGAAATTATTTCGAATATGAAAATTATATCAAAACATTCCTTATTGAAAATATTTTCATAAAAGTATAAAATTTATAAATTATATACAAATATAATAACTAAAATCATTGTTCAAAATTTGCCATCATTGACAAAAAAAAGTCAATTTGGCAAACCTTTTCGGGACGAAGATAGTATTAATTTAGGAAGACCGGTGAAAAGTGAGATTAGTAGTTTTTAATTTCTCAAATTTATATCAAAGACTTCATATTGATTTTATAAAGAATTAAAGACAATTCTTATAAAGTTAATGATTTTAGAAGTTTAGATTTATTGTATGTACATTTTCAAAAGTTTAAAAAAATTAAGTATATTTTAGACATCAATTCTCTACAATTGTGTCTTCATGTCCCCAAATATTTTCGTGGACATTTTGTTTCATCTTCTACTTGGCACAAGTAAACATGAATCTGATTCCGGTATCATAGTAGAATTGGTTAATATTTGATCGGGGGTGAGTGAGAATGCTCTGGATCAATATGCAATGTTTACAAATTAAAACCTGTTTTTTTTCATTTTACGATAAATGAAATCTGATCAAGGAGTTTCACACAAGATAAACATTAAAGTTTTTTTTTTCATTTTACTAGTGATTTTTATTTATCATCTTACGAAGAAAAAAGCAGGGGTATGATTTGTTCCATTCTTCGAAGATACGGAACCATTTGAAGAACAAGCTAAAAAATGAAAAGAAAAAAATTATCAAGAAGAAGATCTCTCTTTAAAAAAACTCTATTACGTCTATGCGCGTACCACATGTAGGAAATAGTTGTGTAAATATTTTAATTCTTACTCATTGGCTAGTGTAATATAACAATGAATCATAACGAGATCGAGTTTACAGGTCATCCTCCCAATTTTGAGTTTTCTGATAAAAGTAAACTTGAATACTTAGACCTAATTTATATTTATAGAACTCTGCATTACTAGATGAATTAAATTTGTTTCACTCGATTTTTTTAATTGTTCCTTATCAATTTATTTTTCCATCATTTGCAATGGAGCTAAAGACTCACTATTTTTTGGCTTGAGAATATGATGGAATAAAGAAAAATGGCTTACTAAACTGTCTGCGCTTCTTTGTTATGAAGCAACCATCAGTCCATGCAATTTTTAGCGCGATTTTCGCTATGGGTCATCCGAAAACAGTCTCTCTGTGCTTTAGTACAGGGGTAAGACTGCGTACATCCGATCTCCCCTTACCCCACCGAAAGTGTGGGAGCCTTTGCGGCACTGGCCGGGGTAATGATGATGATGTTCCTTATCAATTTATGTCATCATGTAGTTAACCTACACTTATTAATGTTATTTAACATAATTCTTGTTTAAACATGTGTTTCACATGAAATTGATAAATATAACTCATATGAAGTTCATATATTTACGGAAATCAACGTAATTTATTTATTAAAAATCTATGAATCTAAAAGGTCTTGATTTTTAAAAAAAAAGTCTATAGGTTAAATGAGTCCACCAAAACCCATATACAATACACACCTCCTCTTAAATTGCTAACTTTTATATGGTGTCTAACGATCAAAAGTTGACTACTAACTCATACTTAATTGATATTAGTTTTTTAACATAGTTTGAAGCTCCTATCATTACTCATATTCACACTTTATTAGAGCATCCTCAATGCTTGAATATCTTGTCTTAAAAAATTATGCCAAATGTCTAAAAACTAATAGACTTTCTTATACACGTAACAAGAAGTCTAAATACTAGATATTAGACTAGCAAAGAAGCCTCCAATGCAAAACAACGGCCAAGTCTAATGTCTATATATGGAATTTAATATATCAAAATAATACTAAATTTTAATATATTTTGTTTACACCACACAAAGCTTGTAATGCTCTCACGGCCATTTATATTAAAAAGAAGATACGTCTTCTTCTTTTACATGCACAAAAAGCGTTGTTGCTGCAGAAAATTAAACAAGACTCCCATATAATCTCCCAGGGACAAAGTTTCAGATTTCAAATTAGGTGTTCACAAGTTGGTTGGAGAGATGAGCCCTAGATTCGCCAATTCCACGACCAAAAAGCAGGTCGGAGAGACGATCGAGCGCCAGAACCACCATTCCGCAGATCTGAATTTGTTTTTGTTCTCTGCTCTCCAGGAGGGGCCGTCGCGCCTGGTTGCCGGAGAGAGAGCTCCGCACCGCACTGTGCCAAGATAGACTCCGTAACGTTCCCCTGACTGGTGCCAGACAGTTGAAGAACACGTGCAGACTGGTAATCTTCTTCCGTGGAACACTGTAGCGGCAAATTCGGCGATGAAATCCCTATCATGAGATAGATGCAACGGCTTTTTGAGGTGTAGTTTGTCCAAGTCAGCATGTCAAGGAGTCTTTCTATGCTCACACGGTCTCTCCTCACAGTGTTTAATTTTTGTTTGCCAAGTCATCATAACTGGACGAGAGACTACATCCATTGGAAGCCAAATTGATATCACAATGTCCCAATTGATGACATGACACACGTTTTCTACACTAGACAGCATAGCAATGCGGATGCTCTTAGAGGTGGTCCAAAAAGGGTCTCGATAGCTCGTATGAGCGGGAGTGTATTTCCTAAAGATTTTTAGGGTTCTTATTCACTCGTCAATTCTTACGGACTCATACGGTCCGTTTGGTGACTATATTTATGGACTTATCAACCATATCAGCTATTGTTTTCACCAAGCACGTGACATTTGATTTTGCACACTAGATTGTATAGTTAACAAGTAAGTAAGATTAAAGTTATTTTTCTGACTGAATTAGTTGAAGTTTTTATAAATGATCATTTTATCAATTTTCTTATAATTTTTCTTTATTTTATTAATAAAATATACTTTAAATATATTTTCCCATAATTCAACGGACTTAGCCATAACACCTTTAATTTCAACAGAATCGTTTAATATCTCGTTTGAAAGATCTTACCGAGTTCTAAAACTTGTCTTCAGACGCTGGTTTCAAACTATCAAGGGATGATTTCCTAATTACTAAAATACACTGTATTTACGCTAAAAGTGTCCTATTAGCGCTGAAAACGCTAAATCATAGAGATAAAGCTAAGTATTTGTGACACTCATATCTTGCTGTGTGTTTTTCCGTTTGGAGCGTATTATATCTCGTTGGAAAGATAGATCGGAGCTCTAAATCTATTGTTCCAACTTCATTTACAATGCATTAATTAAAAGTTACAGATTAACCATATATTCACAAATGTTTCTGATTTCACTCCAAACTCGTGTAGAATTTGATGCGATCATATCTTGCTCTATTTTGTGCCGTTGAAAGCGTTTATATCTCGTTGGAAAGGTTTCCATTGCCACTACACCTACTGTCCATGGAATTTGATTTAACATACGATGTTTGCGAGGTCTAAGTAGAATCCCTAGACGATTTACCAGACAAACTTAATATATAAGGATGTTTACGAGGACTATTCACTCCCTGTAATATAGTGTAGCACCGTCCCCGAGCACATTTACTTTTTAGTAAATTATGTAATAAACCTTGATGAATCAATCATGAATTTGGGAAATTGTGAATTTTTATTATTTCTTTTGCGTGAATAGTAAATTTCACGTGGGGCCCACACTGGGAATAGGGACCGCCCGATAAGTCCAGGATCACATATTATATTCATCTTAGTCTAGATGATATGTATATGGTGTTGGATATTTTAGTAGGCCGATTGTACAGTTTCGGAAACGTAGTTGGGCCGAGCCCTTGCCATGTATTTGTGATCTTCGTGGAAACGTAGTTGGGCTGAGTCCTTGCCACGAAGTTATGGTTAGTATGGAAACGTAGCTGGGCCGAGCCCTTGCCATACAATTTTAATGTGTTAAATTGAGTTGAAGGGTTGTATAGAAATGTAGTTGAGCCGAGCCCTTGCTATACAATCGGGACTCGAGGGAACCCTATGGGGTTGTCGTGACTTGTAGTCACGGGGAATTAAAATGGTGAATTCTAAATGAATATGGCCCCACGGGCCGACTACTTGCTTTATATAAAGTAAGTATGTTATTTTAAAAAGGGGTAATCGAGGGTTATGGCCTATATAGATATATCACCCTAGATTGAGGGTCTTAGAAATTGAAACATTGATTATACTTAGTATAGTTGTCATTGTACTTGTCAAATGTTTCCAAGTACTGACCTCCCCTTCACGGGGGAGGCCACCTCACAGTTTCAGGTAGGAGCTGAGCTTGCTACCAGAGCCCGTGGATTCGGGAAGATCTAGGAGAGAAGATGTGGTTCGTGCTTCCTCCGTTTCTGTTTCAAAAACAATTATAATAATGCTCATGGATATTATTTTCTGAACAATCATTTAGAGGCTTGTATGCCAAGTGTGGCTTGAACACTTGTAATATTGTTTCCGCTGCTTAAATGAATGTTTTTACATTATGTTTGTTTATGGATGTACTATGTGTGAACGATATTCCAGACGCCTT